ACAGAGCTGACAGAGCTAGTAGTGACAGTAGAACGCGTCACAGAAGAAGTTGAAGGAGTAGTGGAAGACGAGACAGGAGAAGTGGTCTTCTTGATGGACAGAGCGCTAACAAATCTGTCACCCAGAGACCCTCGATCCTGCGTGGACGGAGGTTCATCCTTAAAGAACAAGTTACTCTACAAGGGAGGAAATAAAGTCACCAGGTCAAATGAAGATACAAAGATCTGCCTCAAACATGAAACTGGTCCAAACAGCTGTGCATAGAATCACAGACGACAACAATTATAGCAAATGAACCAAAGGCTATAACATTCCTACCAGGAACATTCTCAAAAAAAGATGAAATTAACCCCAATAAACAGTGAAATCACAGCCATCCAACTGAAGGAAGTTCTAGTGAAGGTCGTAAATAATTCATGCTGTTCAAGTTTGAATTTTAATTCTGTAGAACAACTTAATTGCATGTGTAGACATTTTTATCATCATCTGCCAAAATGATCACATAAGAATCCCACAAAAGATGAAATATTCATCAACAAAAAGAGATTTAATTTAGTCAAACTTTCTAAGCAATTTAAGGGCCAAATTGCAAAACAAACTATCACAATGACATTATGAGGAATTGGGAAGAATTAGTTCATTTGAAAGACACAACTCTCCGAAAACAATATTCTTGATGTAGAAAATTTGACACACACTCCAAAAAATGATATGTTCAATTATGTCAAAACTACCTGTTCCAATATAACGCTTTTTTTTTTCTTTTCCAAAACAATTCTGACTAAAAAACTTCCCAGTTATTTAGCCTTCAGGTTCAATATTTGTACTTTTTTTGTATGCGTGTGTTAGGTATATATGTATAAATTGCTGTAAAGTACAAGAGCGAATAAATGTTGTTGTTATTGACAAAACACCAATTTACTCTTCAATTTCATAAAATAACTAAATATGCACGATTCTGTAGGCTCGATTTTGATGAAATATAAATTACAAAAACATCATTAGCCTGTACACCGTTCTAGTTGATAATCATGTCCATTTACCCTCAGTGTACAATTCAGCACAATTGAAACAAGAATTTGCTATTACAGGAGACACGTACATGTAAAGAAATAGTTAAAAACTAGAGTGTACATTTCTGAATTTTTGCCACCAGACAGTTGTGATGATGGAAAATTTTAAATACCAACAGAAAATAAGAAAACATATGCCAAAACGAAGTTAGTTGCTTGTCAACTAAAAAAAATCATAATTGCTAATATCTGAAAGTTCTGATAAAAACACAGATTTCATATTTCCTTTAGTCTCATGAAGGCTAACAAGTTTAACTATGAACTATTTTTCTAGCAGCGCTATTTTAATTATGATTCAAAATCGACAATCACCTAAAAAGCAGATGAAATATACTTGAATTCCAAATACCAGCTACAATGTAAAAACTAAGGGGTATTAACAAACAGTTCTGGTCCAAAAGTTATAAGAGTAAAAAATCAAAGCAAAGAAAATTGTAGATAATTGCCTTGCATAATAATATGGATTCCCGCAGCATGATCTACACTGCACAATACCTTGAAATAATATTCTATGTATCTTTCAGTTTTTAAACCTGTAAAACTACACCTGGTCACAAAGATTCACAGTCACTTGCAACAACATCGACACGTAGATAAACCTCACTGAACTGGCGTGAAAAATTGGGGAAAGCATTGCTCCAAATGTTCCTAATTTGAGGACAAATTTTCCCACCAAAAAGGAGTGTAATAAAAGACTCTATTGCTAAGTTAAATCAAGATTTGTAAGTCACCTACCTTGTCTTGAGCTTCTTCAAAGGACATTCTTCTAGGAGGGCTTCTTCTGCCGTCATTATCCTCATTATAAGACCTAGACTGTCCTCCTTGGAATGCTGGCCTGTCCAGTGGTCTCTGTGACTGCCCCATCATGATATGTTGATCACTATCACCAGCAGGTCTTTGCTCAGGTCTCTCTTGTCTGCTGGGAAATGAGGGGCCCATCCTTCCATTCATCATTGAAGCATCCGGCATCTGGCCATTTCTGCCATCGACCCGCTGTTGTGTGCCTGGAGCGTTATGTTCTGACGACCTGTGAGGGCCTGTGCCATGAGTGTCTTGACTATATCCATTTCTGGTGTCCGACATCTGCTGCCTTCCTGACTGATCTAACAATAACCCTTTATCAACAGAACCAACTCGAGGACTTCCTTGGTCCATCACAGGTGATTGCTGTGAAGGACCAAATTGTCCTCTTGGTTGGTCTAAAGGACGGCCCTGTTGTTGCATACCGTATGGTGCTTTTCCTTGATCCACTCTTGGATCTTGTGAAGCTGGACCCATTTGCCCTCTTGTGTGATCTGCTGAAGCATCTAGACGTCCTCTTCCTTGATCTGGAAATGGACCCTGGTGAGGTGCTCCCATCTGGTTCCTTGGGGAACCTAACCTTTGTGAGCCCATTGGAGCCCTTACTTGGTCAACTGAAGGACCTACACGGGGTGCTCCAATTTGACTCCTAGGTTGTTGGTCTCCAGGAAATACTTGTCTAGGAGACCCTGACTGTCCCAGTGGTTGATCTGGAACTTGGTTTTGCCTTGGTGAACCTAACTGGCCTGGATGCTGATACTGGCCTCCTTGCTGGTCCAATGGTAAGCCAGGGCGGGGTTGTCCAACAAACCTCGGGCCCATCTGCATCATTCCTGATGGTGGACCTGTTCTTGGACTTTGCTGAGGACCAATACGGTCACCAGGTCGTGGGCTACCTGGTCCTAGTTGAGGAGGACCAACATGATTTGGAGGAAAACTTCCAGGTTGTCTTGGCCTGTTGTCCATTGGTAAAGGTGCAGTTGTTGGCCCCCCTGGTCTGTGAACTTGCTGGTTACCAGGTTGGGAAACAGGTGGTCCTCCCCTACCATAACCAGGCTTTGCATCCATCTGACCAGGAGGTGTACCTCTTCCATATCCAATTGCATTTTGTTGTGAAGGTGTCTGAAATCTTGGTTGTTGCTGCCCTGGAGGACCCCTCATCCCAAAACCAGGTCGGGGTTGGTTTAGAGCAGCTCCCCTGGGACCTTGTTGCTGTGGTGCAGGTAATGACCCACGGGTGGACGGAGGGGTTCCTGGGTGTCCAACTGGAGTAAAACTTGAACCCTGCTGCTGAGGAGCAAAGTTTGGGCGCATTCCTGGCTGAGACCCTGGACCATGCATTCCCCTTCCCTGAGATGTCCCAGGTGCACTGCCTGGCCGAATACCTTGTCCCTGCTGCTGAGGTTGTCCTGGTCTTACTTTGGGAACCTGACCAGGTGCTACAACTCCTCTTCCCGGCCCTTGGTTGACAGGACCAGGTTTATTCATGTTTGGCATCATTCCAGGAGGACGACCCTGGGGAGCATGATCTAGCTCATCATGTCCCTTGAATTTTACAACTTTCCGTCTCACTTTATTTTCATCTTGTCTGTACAACTCATCATCACTCAAGTAGGTTGGACTCCCAGGAGGTGTCTCATGACGAGAATCAACCTCCTCATCAGATACTGATGGCCTACGAAAGCGATTCCGTTCAGAGTCTTTTTCAGATCTCCCTTTTGCTCTCCTTAAGCTTCCCCTACCAGAATCAGATCTTTGCAATGAACCTTGTCGCCTCATAGCTCGTTTGTCCTCTTCTGTTGGGATTGCCCTAAAGTCACTACCTAATTTTAAGTCAGAGTCATTGTTTGGCTTTTTTTCACTAGCAGTTATTGATCCAAACCAGTTACCAGTCTTAGTGAGCATTTCTTGTTTCTTTTGGCACACAAGACACACCCATGACACCTGGAAAACAATCAGTTGTGTATTAGTGTCAATTAGCAATGCTGTTAAACTCTTGANAGGATAGAGAGAACATGGCAGATTGACAAATTTTGCAGACAGACAAAGGTGTTTCAAAGCCACCAAAGACAAGGGGAAACTTGAGGCAACAAATTACTACTTGTGTCACGCAAGATGTCAACAAGCTTTCAAGACGCAGCTGCCATGCAAACAATCACACTCAAACATGCCAACAATACAAATTGATTAGAGAGTATTTTAAATTTTATTGTTTACACTAAGATTTAACAGTAGGTTGAACATGGACGTATTTAAGCCCAGGGTGTTGGAATTAAGTAGCAGTGATAGGAATAAAAAGAACAGCATTTACACGTGCATAATTATAAAGGATTCTTAAAGTTGAATGAGTCAGCAAGTCAAAATAAAGGTGAAAAGAAGAAAGATCATTTTTGGCAAGGGAAGGAACAACCAAACCAATGTTTCACCCAAGAGCTACGGTTTCAAGAATAGTTTAAACAGCCTAGACTAGAGAAATAAAGAAATGCACCAGAATAATGCTGATACAAAGACAAGAAAATGAACAGTATGTCATGTACAGACCTCAGGACCGAGAGCAAGAGTCTTGAAGTCTTGTATCAAGTTGGAGAAGAGAGAGAGACCCTGGCCTTGCTGCAAGAAAGTTTAACAAGTTAATACACACTTAACAACAATTTTAACCATTGTGCAAATCAGAGGCAAGCAAGACAAGACACACAGGCTTATATACTAACAATGATGTCCGATAGGCCAGATACCTTAGGCTGCAAGAAAATAAACACAGATATATAACGGTTTAGCATGCAGGAGGGGAAAGTCCTTGGAAACACTTTTTACACATAAGATAATTAATTATTTTAATTAACCAATAGACAAAAATGTTTGAAGTTTACCTGCAAAATTCTAAGTGACTCAATAAAATTTACAAGTAAACTACATATTAACTTTTCTAGTATTTAATTACATGTCAGTATATTAATGTTGTTAAAAGTTATGCTTACATTAACAAGTCAATAAGCTTAGCTTAATAGTTAATAAGTGAACATTACTAGTTATATATTAATTACTGAAATGAGTAACAGTTTAAAAGGTTCATCTATTATTGACTAGCAGTTAACAAAACTTGGTTATTTAACAATATGTACATGTACATGAGATAATATGCACACAACAAGCATAAATTGTGTTCATTTAAACTACAAATATTACCATTATGATACTAAAGAATGTCCTTGCTTAAATATAGTACTTTTGTTTGTTTGCTTGCTTGCTTGTTTCTTTTTTTTGTTTCTTTCTCCTTTTTTTTTGTTTCTTATGTATACAAAACATCCTACATGCACTCTTCATGTAAAGAGGAAGTGTTTCGTGGTCATATCAAAATACCTCTGACCAGTGATGTTTGAAACTTTGAGTAAAAAAAACCTCCCATAAGGTGACACTGAATCAGAAAACTGGTTAACAACACACTACATAATTTGATTTACATCCTCTAGCAGGGGCATACCTCTTACAAGACAGGACACTGATTGTGAAACATGATCTCAACCATACAAAACACATTACTGTACCTTCTAGCATAAAATTAACGTTATTGTTTAAATAATTTCAGGGGTTTCATTCATGTTTTTAACAGGTGGGCAAAACTATTTGATCTGAACTTTGTTATAAGAAAACCTTTCTGCATGGTAAAACCAGGCAGGCAAAGTCGTCATCGCAGTCGGTCAATTTGCCTGGTACCCGGCCCGGCCCTTAATGAAACCCCTGAATGGCAGTGAGAAGTTGCCATGACCACATAAAAACAATATATATTTGTAATAAGGGGACATTTAATGATCTTAGACACACATCCTGAACTTACAAATTAATGAATTCATGAGTATTGCATATGAGATGGTTGACTGCAATATTGTCCTCTGTCATTAACTGCCAGTACTCAACCAATCAGCATATGCCCTCCAACTTATTAATTAATATTGAAAAGTTGCACTACACACTTAAAGAAATAATTCTAACAATTTCTTTCATTATTCACTTCCAGCCAGTGCAAAGAGACTAAAACCTTGGATCAAAATTAACATGACATGCAAAAAACTATTATAATTTCCCAATATTGTTTTGTAAATGATTGCCTGACAATGTCCGCTGACTATACCACTTGCCTAAATATGCCTTGTGTAGAGACACAACAGCTGTGATTTGAAATCTTTGATGTTACCGCTATACTTTAAAGGCCTGAGGTATTGACTTAAGCTTTTGGAGCTACCAAAAAAAGGTTAAGTAATTCCTCAGGTGGTCTGTAAAATTAATATATGTGTTCCTCCAGACAGTCATTAACTTGCGAACACAATTAATCACTGACCAGAAATGGTAAAGATATCCAGGTGATTTCATCTTGGCATCAAACTACTATTTCGCAAACTACAAAGGTGAGCAGATGCCGCCAAAACAAATGTTAAAGAACTTATCTCTGCTCAAATGCAGAACAAGCTTTTGAAGAGTCAAGTTATCCAGCAGAGAATAAGCCTGCTGGGTATGTTTATGAGCGAATACTTATTATATAAATTCTTTTTAATCACACAATCTTGAGCAAAATATAAACTCATGATGACCATCATTTTTCTCTCACATCTACATAATACGCTTTTAATAACTACCTCTTTTCCATACCACAGTTCCAAGTGAGACTCAGAACAGTAGTAACATTTACAGCCTCATTTTTCTACTCATTAAGAGTAAACTCTGTATCTGCCCCAGTCCATACAACAAAATTTCTATATTAACTTGAGACACGTGAATAAATCACTTTTATGAACCAATTGGGACAGTCCTTTTATTGATAGAGAATCTTGTGGATCAAAATTAATTTCTTAAATAAACAAGATTCTGAAGGTAAGGAACAATCACAACTTAAAGACGCCACAGAGAGAATGCTATTTTGCCTAAAATGTAGACTAGTATGAAAAACGCACTTTGGATGTTTTAGTTCTCAGACTTTGCAATTAAAAACAGTTATTGCCGCAGGGTAATACTCAAGTAATCTGCTGTTTTCAAACTGCGTACCATCTTGGCGGTACTGTTTGAAAAACAGACCAGCAGTCTAAACATCAGTTTAACTATCAGGAGACAATCAGACAAATTTAACTTACAGAATAGAGTAAACAAAAGACTATAATTACTGGATGTGAAGCATTATGAAATTGCTTCAACAGGGCTTTAAAAAAGGTTTTGAAATGGTAAATCTTGGTGTTTTGGTGTGTGTGATTTGGTAACTGCAATCAAGCAGGACCCCTACAGCTAGTTGTAGCAATCATAAGAACTCTGAGAGGAAATAACTCTTGTGATGTGGACCGAAATATTAATCACTATAATTCAAAACTTAATGGTGTGTTACGGTTCTAATTAAAACTAGACAATGAAAACTCAATTCCTGCTTAGGGCAGAAAGCTGCACCCACAAATTGTGATAAATATTTGAAAACTTGGTGGCAAAATATCCACAGCTGGCTTAGTGCCAAACCTGATTCAAGTATTCTTACAGTTCTAAGAAAAATGTTTTGTTGTAAAGTAACTTTTCATCATGTGCAGGAGTACATTTGTATCAATGAATCGCACTGATCTGATAACAACCCAACCCTGTTGTTATTTGACAAATTCACTTCACTGAGACACATTTTAATGACAACCCAACAATAACAGAATTGACAGAAAGCTTCTAGAAAAAAAACATGGAAATTCCTCTTGGCACATTAACAAATCTCCAAGAAAGAGACTATCTCAGTTTATAATTAATGTTTTGGGTTCCTTGAATTTTTAATAGACTTCCAAAGGCAATTGTTGCCACCAATGTTACAATATAGAAGTCTGAAACTCTGAAATTCAACAACTACTTAATCTAGAAAGATAACCTCTCTTCAGGTTTTTAATCAAGTATAAAAATTGGACTGTGCCAAAATGCCATGACTGTCAACAAGAAAATTTTTCAAGAGGAACATTCTAATGAAATGGCATTTGACGTAAAGCAAGATGTTATCACTATGTTATCTATACTTTTTCCGTCTTTTTACTGTACATAGCATGATTTCTTGGAACATAACCACACAAGCTGGTTGATTTTGATGTGTATCTTATCCTCTACTGTAGCACTGAAGGCTTAAGAGGCGTCAAAGAAAACTAAAAGTAATTTCAACGAGAAATTGATTGAAATCTAGTCTAATTTATACAGTCTCATAAAAGTTTAAATTTATATTATTGTAATTGTGAGTGAAAAGGTTAAGAAAGGAAATGACCCTGTGGTTAAGGCGACAAATAATAAACCAAGAAATTTGGTTTTGTTCACTGTATTGAATAATCAACGATACGAGGTGAATGCAAAATTTGTCAAAATATGATTCTTCCCAAGACAAAGACAATATTCTTAAGTATATAAAAAGTGAAAATTTTACGCAAGAGCTAAAAAGGTTGTCATCTACACAACTTTTAGATAGCTGAAGAAAATTACAATACAGAAAAGTACCTATACTGAATGCTATGCATATTGATCATATTTAAATAATCACATGTATACTTAAGATATTTCCAGAACTAAAACAAAAAAGTGCACAATATAAAAAATTTCCAGTATCCAATATTGGGTTGTGCCAAGCAGTTATTTCAACCAAGAGATCAGAGGCAAATAAGAAATCAGTAAAATGTACCATTATTTACACACTGCAGGTTCTCCAAATACAATACATCCACTGACCGGGATGTTTTTAACCAATAACATACGAAACGAATAAAAAGTACACAAATGTTACATATTTTCACCACATCTTTAGCATAAAACGCTGTTGAAAAACATTCTCGGTAGAAATTTCTCGCCAATCAACATTTTGGACGCGTTATTTTGAAACAAGTAGGCTCATGTTTGCCAAGAAAAAAACTTGGGTGGGTCAACATTTTCACCTGTACATCAACCATCGTCTACGTTTGTGGACATAGAAAGCACTGCTACAAAAAAATCGCCTCAAATTAAGACATTTTCCACTCCTTCCGAAATAAAGAAGGCAAACCATTTACCGTAAGTACCCTATGAGGTTAGCTTGTAGGGGGATTCAATAAAACGCCTTAAAATTCGAATATTTATAAAACTTAATCGGCGGAACAGAATTATAAATAAGTTAGATGAAATGTAATACTGGAGGCTTTCAGTTCTGTCACAAAACACACGTCGACAAAAACAGTCCAAGAAGAATTTTTACCCTGAGCTAGAGTAATAATAAGAGATTATTACTATTTTAAAGTTTACGCCACCGAGAATAAATCACCGATAAATCTCACAGATAAAATTGTTCAAGCTCGACTGAATAAGAAATTCTAATACAGCTAAATCCACAAAGTGGAAGTTTTTAAAAATACATGAGCAAAGCTTTAGCTGTCAACAGTGTGTTTACTATCATCAGCCTCAACCCTTCACCAAATGTTTTTCGAGATCTCAAGCCTTGAAATAAAATGTTAAGGTGTAAAAATAAGAGATTAAAATTATATTTTGACTTACCGAAGCCTGAGTGGACATCGGTGCAATAAATCAGCCAAGCGTCCAACGGAAGGGAGAAAAAAAGTTAAAAATAATATCAAGTTAATTTCAATACTGGCGAAAGCGACCACTACAAAACCTATATTTCCTAAGCCCATAAATAGAACCTTTAGTCGGTCCAAAAAATTATTTCAGAAAATAAAGAGAAAATGTAAATGACGCCTAACTTAACAATAGTATCTTTTACACATTTCTCTCTGTAGAAAATGCTCAAAGAATTTCGTATTCACCTGTTTCGTCCCAGGAATTGTGACTTGCACTCCACACCGGGCGCAGACTTTAAGCTTACAATACTTGCATTCCCTTCCCGTTCCGTCCGTAAACTTTGTCTTATGGCAAATTTCACAGACATTTTCAGCCTTAGACACAGTTTCCGACTGAGCAGTCTTCCTTTCAACTCTATGTTGATAGCTTTCCACTTCTTTCTGGAGCGATCTACAACAAAAACATGCGAAGGCATAAACTTGTTTAATTTCCAGCCAAGCATGCAAAATACAACGGAAGACTAAACCAGTGCAATATTACATCGTATCTTAAATGTAATTCACACGGTTTTTCTTCGTAAACGATACGAATTCACTGAAGAAGTGCCTTAAAAACACGCGCCACGATGCAGCACCTAGACTCCACACATAACATGGCGACATAAACATGAACGCTTGGCTTACAATTGCAGCTGTGTCGTCTCTTCTTCCATTTGTTTCTGTCGCTGTAGCACAGACTGGATGATCTCTTTCTCTTCCTCCGTTAGATTGGAGAGATCTGGAGGCGGAGGAGAAGCAGGACATCTAAACCCAGCCATTTTTCTCATCTCAAACGCAGGTTGTCGGAGAAACCTGTGTTGCGTGAAATTGTGAGGATTCGCCTCAAAGCGACCAGTGACAAGAAATCCACGTTAAATAGCCAGTAGAGCTCTTCCTATGCTGAACGTTGCTATCTAAGTTTACGCTCAGATTTCCACGTTTCCACCTCCATCGTAATTTTTCATTCATTCTTTACAAAATTCTCCCCATGCTCAACAAAAAATACTTGTAAAACCACAACACAATTCTGAAATTGTAGTCTTTGCATTTATGATAATTCAGTTTTCCGCCGAGTGGCGCATATTCGGATGTCTTCGGAAAGTACCGGTAATATTCGGAAATTGCCGAAGCTACTGCGAAACTTTTGCGTAGGGAAAATGCCTAACTTTTGAGGCTTTAGCACTCTCAAAAAGAAATTATCAGAAATGTTTTAGTAACCGAATGCAGTTTGACATGATCAGTGTTGAAAGGAGAATTTGTAGAATGCCAAATTACCATAATGTGATGTCTTCTCGTGTTTCGTTATCCCTTAGAACTTCCCCTCGGCGCAAATGCAATACGAATTTTGTTATTTTTTCGAAACAAAAACAATTTGCCCCTTGCTTCGTTCTTGTTAAGATCTGATGACGCGATTTTAAAAGGGAATTACATATAAAAGCAAATGAACCGTTT